TTTTTTTTATTTTTGTGTTACAAAGAAGGAGGCCGATAGCCTAAGACTTAAATACGAATACGTCGGGGGTACAATACCCCAATAATGTCATGTTTAAGCCAGTTGCCTACACTAGGAGGCGGCAACGAAAGCACATGGAGGCCAATTGGATAAGAAGACGCGAGGCTCGCTAAGTGGTATGCTGTAAAATTTGTCTCTCGATGCACATGTCGAAGATCAACAACCCATTCCCATTGGAGCATTTGACGAACGACCTTAACTAATGCACCATTCGCCCCAAAATCACTGCCCGATCCATACCATTTGGAGTACGCACTGGCTATCAATTAGTTTGATGACATATTGACATCAAACTAAAGCTAAAATTGAAACAGAAACTCTTCTCAAGAGTTGCGAGTCTCGACCCTCACCACTCACAACTCAGATGATACATAAATAAACCCTCGTATTGATTTTTCCGAAGGCCAAGATCATTTATAACTTGCACTATACTGCTATTTTGGCTTTTGCAATATTTTTTTCAAATGCAAAAGTTAAAAAAAAAAACATGAAGTTTCTAATCACATGCATATTATAATAGAGAAAAATACTATCATGCATATTATCCCAACCAAATAAAACCATAAAGTTTCTAATCACATTAATAATAATAATAATAATAGTAATAGAGAAAAATATTCCAAAACCATTTGTTGTCCCATATTTATTGGGAAGGAATTTTTCAACTGATACGTTAGCTTCGCTAGCTGCTGGTGTCTATGTTGGTTATTATCATCTTTTTCTGAACTCGCCGCGGGAACTTAGCCATTGGCCAGAACATAATATTTTAGGAGTGATTTACCCACGTCGTGTGCCGTCTGTTAGGCTTTTGGCCTACTTTCTTGTAATAAAAAAAAAANNAAACAAACTAAAAGTTTTAACCATCAGTCAATCACAAAACCCATGCAGCAATAAAACTCCACATATGAGTGGTACATATTGACATTCAAATCTTCCCTCTCCACATTATAATCCCGGCCAAACACAAAACAAACTTTCACACCCTATTATTTTATTCTCGCCCTCCATATATCAAATCCATAAAATACCCTCCAAATTCATCACCAAAAATAAATAAATAAATAAATAAATAAATAAAAAAATAACAAACCCTTCATCAATGCCATCCTCTCCTTCTTCCCCTCAAGCCCTCACGGCCATCTTCCTCCTCTTGACATTAATAGTCTCCCGATTAACTCCCGCGAGCTCAGCCGCCTGCACTTCCGAGACCTTCTCCAGCCGCCGGCCACCAGCCTACGACTCGTGCCTCGACCTCCCCGCCCTCGACTCCCGCCTCCACTGGTCCTACGACCCAGCCCAATCCATCCTCGACATCGCCTTCGCAGCCCGACCCGCCGAGCCTGACGGGTGGGTCTCGTGGGCCATCAACCCGACGGGCCAGGGCATGGTGGGCTCACAGGCCCTGGCCGCTTTCCGGGACTCGAACGGGCGAATAACCGTCAGGAAATACAACGTGTCGTCGTATGGCCCGTTGGGGGAGGAATCGACCCGGTTGTGGTACAATGTGAAGGAGGCATCGGCCGAGTTTTCCGGCGGGCTCGTGAGGCTGTTCGCCACCCTGGCATTGCCGGAGAAGGGGCTGGCGGCCGTGAACCACGTGTGGCAGACGGGCGGGTCGGTCACTGGAGGCGTGCCTGACAAGCATGCATTCGGGCAGGGGAATTTGAATTCGATGGGGCGGTTGGATTTGCTGACAGGGCAGAGCACGGGCAGCGGAGCGGGCAGGGGCAATTCGAGGGCAGAGAAGAGGAATGTGAGTATTATACGTGTAGACAATATTTTTAGTCATGTTGGTTTAACGTCGTAGCAATATTAGTTACTAAGTTTTCGTCGTTTGGTCTTATGACTTAATATTTTGATGCAATTTTAGTCATTTGATGTTAACTAAAATTGCAACAAAATTTTATATTACAAGACTAAAATCGCTAATAAAAATATAGAAATTTGGAAATTTATTGCAATCTCATTCCTTAAAGGACCGAAATTGCACCAAAATAATAAATGTGTTGAAACTTTAAGACTAAATTGCAATAATGTTAAACCAACAAGACTAAACGTGCAATTTTTTCTCACTTATATTACGAATAGTCGAATATCTCGAAATGTTTGTGATCGATTTCCGGTGTAAAATGGGCTGTTAGGTTCACGGAGTATTGAATGTCATAAGCTGGGGAATATTGTTTCCCATCGGTATCGTGTTTGCGAGATACTTGAGGATTTTCCCGTCTGCAGACCCTGCCTGGTTTTACCTCCACGTTTCTTGCCAGGTAATTTTATGGTGCTTCGTAATTTTATGAGGTATTTGAGATAAGTTGTTTTAATTAATTTAATTTCATTTTGTTTTACTAGGTCATTGCCTATGCCATTGGGGTAGCTGGTTGGGCAACCGGTTTGAAGCTCGGTAGCGAATCAGAAGGCGTTACATATTCTTACCATAGGAATATTGGGATCACGCTCTTTGTTCTAGCGACTATGCAGGTACGTAAAATAAAACACTTGATCGGAATTCAAATCGTGATCTTTAACGAGTAGTAATTAGTTCTGTATTTGGTTGTTGGTGCATTCAGGTATTTGCATTGGTGCTTAGACCTAAAAAGGATCACAAGTATCGACTTTATTGGAACATCTACCATCATGGGGTCGGATACACGATCGTTGCCCTCTCTCTCATCAACGTGTTCAAAGGTTTCGATATTCTGAGGCCCGAAGCCAAGTGGCGAAATGCGTATCTTGTTGTGATTGTTGTGGTGGCTTCAGTTGCCGCATTGTTGGAAGTGATCACGTGGATAGTCACTCTAAGGAGGAAGAAATACAATACAATAACCTCATAAATTTGTCAACGGTAACTCGAGTTCCACGATCTCCGTAGATCGTATAATAAGATTGAATGATTATGTTACCATGTATGCAAATGAGCTCAACTAGCTAGTTTATTGGCTATGCCGGGCAACTGTGCTGTGCAAAATGGTGGTGATATGAAGTGATATTATATGTGAAATGGTGGTGCATTGTACTTAGGATATCAAGTGAGCATACATCTATGTGATAGACTCAAGCACTCATGTAGTCATATTAGCTCAGTGGACCGGTTCGCAGGGGCGGATTGAGATGTGGGTGAGCCTGGCCAATTAATTGCCCAGGCTGAACTTAATTTGCCAATTATATTTTTTATATTTTATGTTAATACAATTAGAACTAAAATGGCAAATTTACAAACAATAAGGGGAAAACAGAAGAAGGAAGAAGATGTTGATAGAGTGTATTCAATTAATTTAATGGCTTGCTTAATGGGTATTATTTTGGGCTTATCATGTTTGGGCTTTTGATTAATTGCTCTTGTAACTACAAAATAATCTTTACAAAGAAAAAATGAAGAGAAAATTGCAAGTCCGCGCGCACAAAACTTCTTAATGGCACCTCGAATTCCAAATGCCGAAAATAAAACTAAAAGAAGAATCTCATCCCACTCATATTTAATTTCTCTTCTAAAAAATCTTTTAAATAATTCAAGTGAGCGGCTTAGATATGCATCATGTAATTTGATATATTACAACTTAACTCTATTGCATTTAATTATTTTATTCTTTTCAATAGAAGTAATGATCAACTGTGATGTGATAGAAAATATTAAAATAATTAATGATAATTATAAATATGTGAGGAGTTGAAATTTTATAAAAATAAATTGTAGCAATGATTAATTTTAATTTAAAAGTTATATTGAAAAGATTGTTATTTTTTGCTATTTATTTTTTTTAAAATATTTGAAAATCTTTCAAGAACTCAGCAAATAATCCCAGATCTCATCTAAGTGACTTCTATTTATCTTCATTTCTATTATATTTGCCCTGGCTGAAAAATAATCCTCCATCCGCCACTACCGGTTCGAGTACTCACCTCGAGTTAATCGGACCAGGATTGCTCTAGCTTTGTAGTAGGGTCTGACTTTGTCGGGGATCTCAATCGATCTACCTACTCCAAAAAGAATCAAATCTCTTACGAGATAGAGAACCGACCTCATCTATGAGCTCAGTTAAATGAAAAGTATTGTCAGTTGTCACGACATGTACATTGGGTCGTTGGAGGTCATATAGCAACCTAAACAAGAATATGGCAGAAGGATCATGAGGTCGGTACGACAACCTAAGGAACTGAGAAGTTGTGTGAGACAAGAAAATAAAATTCCATTAATATAGTAACTGTATCTCGATGAGAAACAAGATATTTTAACGACGTTTACATTAGGAAACAAAATACAGAGATATCTATTTCCTAGTAATGAGTGGGTAAGAAGATAACTTCCTTATAAATTGAAGTTCCCAAGTTCTTTTTAGGATTAACGTGCAATATATTTTAAATCCTAGTTTACAATTCACGATCGAAGTATAACGTGGGGATCACCATCGAGACCCCTTCCTAGTGCATTTTGTAGCATACATTTTGTATGTCATCGGAGTTGAAGTTGAAGAACATCTCATGATGCCACCTGTCTAAAATTCGATCCAAAGACAATTTGCACATCCATGTATATATGCCTTTTATTGGGTTTTTTGGTACAGTGCCTTCCGGTTTCCGGATCCACAGAGGAACCGATTAATCCAGAATCGAGCCGGGTAAGACCACAAGGGCGGCAAAACTCTCTCTCAAGAGTTTTTAACACTGCTGCATTCCCAGGACTCGAACACGAGACCACTGGTTAAGCTGGAAGAGACCCAAACCATCTCATCCAAGCGCTCTTGGGTGCCTTTTATTGGATTTAGTTTGTCGTTCGTAGCCCCTCAAATGCAATGATGTATCTTCTCAAGCACTCTAAGTCCAAAGTGTCATTAGGGAATAAATGAATTGGCAAATTAAATATTTGGTAATAATATTTACTTGTACAATATTCTTGTAATACACGAGTACTTGAAAAACTCTGATAGTTTTATAAAAAAAAAAAATAATAATAATTATTATATTTTATTGTTGAATTATAAAAAAAAAAAACTTAAAAAAAATGATATTATTTAACATGAAAACAGATTCTATATTTGATTTATAGTTAATTATATTTATTAAATTATATATGACCAAAGCAAATATTATCCACAATACCATAAATTTGATTTTGTAGTTTTCATAAGCCCTTTTGTATTGTAACGATTGATTTCTCATATATTATTTTTTAAGTATTTATAACTTATAATATTTGATGATTTAAAACATAAATTAATATATAAAAATGTAATATTTTCTACAATTTTGATATTAATTCGTATTCATATTTACATAGTATTAATGTTTAAATTTTATACATACTTTATTTAAGTTTAGACATATTTTTTAATATTTTCATATTCATTTTTTTGTTGATAATCAATTTCTACATTTTCGTTCTATAAAACAACATACTGAAGTTGTTGTTTATGATATATTAATATATTTAATTTTTATTATTTTATGGGATAATTTATAGTTTTATTTTATATTTATATTCGTCGTGACAAATGAATTTAAATTTTATTTATAGGCATATGAAATAATTTTTATATTGGACTCATTAAGGCTCGAATTCGACTCGTTAATATTGGGAAACAAGTCGAGCTCGAGCTCGAGTATAAGCTCGTTAAGCTAACATGCCGATCCCTCGACTTGTTTACACTCGTATATGTAGGACATTTCATTACTTGGTAACGGTTCATAATTATCTTCGTGGCAAGATATAATATCTATATGGAACCCGTAACTTGTCGCTTCTTTGATTTCATAGGCCAACCAACAAACAAGATAAGCTCTTTCGTAGCTTTGAGTCACAGAATGACGAAGTAACACAAAATATCTTTGTACGGAAAAGAAATATCTTACTTGCACTTTCCACGAGTATTGCATATTTTAATTTAATATCGTTTTCATTGGGTCGGATAGATCATTTCATCTTACTCTTTGAAACAAAAATACAATATCGTTAATATTCAAATTAAAATTGGGGAGAATGCTATAATCTCGTTACTATATGATTCAATTATGCATTTTAGTCGTAGATCTACACATAATCTGATAATGCGTAAATAATCTGACGCTTACAAAATATAACTGAACCATCGGGATAGACCATTTTAGTCATTTTTTCCTTCTTTTTTTATTTTAAATAAAACGGAGGACCAAACTGACAATTCCAGCCAGGAAAGAAAAAATATCTTTCCACTTGGGGGGCCCGAATGCAAATAAATACCTGCTCAATCTACTTTGCGTGAGCAACACAAAATACGAAACAGAGCGAAGGTAGAGAAAAAAGAGAGCGAGAAAAAAATGGAGTTCGCGAGACCAAGCCGCAGCGACGTCCACCTGAACCGCCGTGAGGCGGAGGAATTGGAGGCCGCCACCCGTCAGTACTTCGATGGGGTCGCACCCAAGCGGCACACCAAGCCCCAGCGCAGCGAGTACTCGTCCGCCTATGCTGACGCGATCTCCTCCGACGATGGCGTCATACCCGAGCACGTTCAGTTCCAGCATCTGGAGAAGGATAATGAGGCGAGATTGTTAATTTTAATAATATAATGATCTTTTCCTTTTTCAATTTGTTTTCGTTTTGCTATTTAGGTATGAAGATCTGGTATCAGATCCATCTAAGGCCGTTACAATTTTCATATTTGGGGCACTTAATCACAAACTTTTGTTGATTCGAGCATTTTTTGTTTTTTCGATCGTCTGTTGCAGAAGTTAGTGTACAGTGGAGGTAAAGTTGATGAGGAATTTACTGAAACAGAATATTACAAGGATCTCAACGGAGTCGACAAGCAGCATCACACGGTAGCCGTTATTCCCAGAAAAATAAAATAATAATAATATTACTGTTAAAACACCCGAATGGTACCGGGACCGTAGCATTTTCCTATTTTATATGCCATCACATGAGAAAATATAATTTTTTTTCGAGATATTGAAAGTTGGCCTTTCTGCTGCTTCACAATCTCAGTTATTATTTTATCTTGAGCAAATATCTTGTGCCTTGTTTGCTAGAGCTGATATTCAAACTGAGTTGTTCGCGAACACAACTCAGTTTGACATTAGAAACCTCGATTTGACATTAGAAATCTCGTTCGTTTACTTAAGTGAGCTGAATATTTAGAATTTTAATTATTCTTCTATAAGTTTTGAAAAAAACAGCTGAGTCGAGCATGTTTGTGGATGCAAAAATCGTGTTTGCTAACAACTAATTTATGATTTTGGTTTGTTAAACATGTCGAGCCAAGCGTCAAGAGCTTAAACGAGCTGAGCCTAGCCAGCTCGTTTATTGAAAGAACACGAACTCGAACATGAAGTGCTTGGCTCGGGTCGAATAACACCTCTACTTGTTGGTTATTGATTTTGAACCACTGAGATACTTTAGAGTTTGCAAAGCGTTTAAAAAAAATGCCAAATTCATTTGGTGTGTTCTAACATTATTTTCCTTTATCAAAGTTGTAAGCATCATAACTTAATTGCTGACAGTTAGTTTAGTAACAATTTCTTCTCTGTGTTTTGCTTGTTATGCTAGACTGGATCAGGGTTCATAAGAGTGGACAGCTTAAAAGGGAAAAGCTTCAGCCTTTCATCTGATTCTGTTTCTGAATGCCACCCCTCATGCAGGGGAAACCCGGCTACAAACGATTGGATCCCGAATACCACTGAGATGGTAACACTCACAAATTATAATTGTGGTTTTTCATTTAGTAAGAAGAAATTAATTTCGTTCGCAATGAAATTAACTCATGCTCAATCTTGTTATATCTTAGTGAAACTCAATATTGGTCGAAATTACTGTGTATTTAACACGATTTTTCGTGTTATTAACTTGGTATAAGTTAGAGTTGTGCAAAGCACTTTAATTTAGTTGTTCATCTATATTTTGTCTCTCAGGTGGATTTCATCACTGACAAGCCCAACAGGAGTGGTTGATTCGTGTGCAATTTGGACATTATCTTGGTTATGCTTGTGTCCGTTTGTTGGGCCTCTAAGCAGGCTATGGTTAAGATGGTCTATGAATGAATAAGATTTTTGCAACATGTTTCAGTTTGTATGTTTCTGCAAACTGTATGCTTATGTTATTATTCGGTTTTTCATGGAGAAGAAATGTATTAGTGTATCGTTTTTATGAATATCAATATCAATATCAATATCAATGGTGGTTACTTGTTACATTATTACTGGAGTCTCATCTTTCCTAATCAAGAAAGTTGTGTTGTACAGAATTCTTTGGGCCTTCTTTTCTAGATGGGCCTTATTGATAGACCAACTAACCTATTTTAGCTAAAGCTGATATTGGGCCAAAGCGAATTGTATATACCCAAATATAAAATCACAAAAATCTCATATTTTCTTGGTCATGTTCCTAAATTAGTTAGTGTATGAATAACGTTTGGAACACAAATTGGCAATGAATTAATGAATTTACGCATGAAAATCAAATTGGTAACTTACATTGGTATAAATAGTGCAGTTAGATAAAACTAATTGTTAGACAATTTCCAAAAATTTCACATAGTTGTTAGATAATTGTAACTTATTAAATGATTTGTATACATTCAGTTAGACAAATGTAATTGCTGAACAATTATATTTTATTAATTACTTTGTATAGTTTCATACAATCAATATGCATAACTTAAAAAGTAATATAAATAAAAATATAATTTTCAATATGAATTTTAAAAAGCGTTATGATCATTTTTAATTGTTAATTTGTTATTGCCCAAACATTTTATATAAGCTCGTGGATTTCGTGGATAACGCAGAGCCAGCAACCACCCGTTTTTCCTTTCCCTCAATAAATCTAAAATTAAAAAAATAGAAATAGTCATTTTTTGTTCTTTAAACTGTCAACTTCAATTAGAGCAATTTATATATTTGTTAATAAAAAGATAATAAGTGGAAAAAAAAAAGAAAGGGAGTGGACCAACATAAAAAACACGTATTTACAAAATACGTTTTCTAAATAATTTTTTCTAAAGCCTTATTCAAGGAATACGTGTTTTTTATTCATTTCCACCTCTTTTTTTCTTTTTTTT